CTCAGCCTGTTTTGAAAACTGTCAACTAAAATGAAAGAGTTAGAGCATTGCTGCAAATTTTTATAATCATTTGATTTCATTGAAATATTTACAGAGCGTTTAAGTGAATTTCACATACATTTGCCTCACAGACCATCTGAAAACTACATCTGTCACTCTTTGAGTTTTGCACATTACTGGCTCTTCTTCCATGATCAGAACTAAATGAATACAGAACAAAACAAAAAGTTAGGAATGGTAGGTCTTATCCCTTTGGGTATGGTTAATTCTGTTTCTCACCAAACTGTCAATATCTTAGAGACTCGATGACTATGTTAAATTTGAGCTTTTGGTTTCTTTTGCCCAGATCAATACTTTTGAGGATGTTTCTGTCTCTAAATGCAAATTGGTGATATTGAGAGTTACTGACCTTAGTTTGCCCTTTGAACTGTTCAGGTGATCTTGTTCATATTACCAGACCCTGAAGCACTTCCACCTTTCAGTCTGTCAGCTCCCACCTGAGTCCATCATGAGACTCTTGCATGTGCAGACACTTATCACATCCTGCTTCCACAGAAGAGGATGTCAGCTGGAGGGCATGTGTGACACTGCCCTGCATTCACCTGAAGATCTGAAATTCACTGTGCATGTCTCTTCTGCTGAACATAGGGAAAGACTGGGGAAATGCATCTCTCCTAATCGGGTCCTGCTTCTTGTCTCATTCCAATTCTTTAGTGATTTTTCAGCAACTCCACTCACTGCTATCAAAGGAGTTGCAATATGCACTTTAAGAGAACTCACTAATTTCACCTTGACCACATTTACAGTGATTGCTGTCTGGGTGACTATAGTGTTACAATGTTTTAAGATAAAAAAAAGTAAGAACCACCATTTATTACCTTACTCTCAAAGTTCTAGATAACAGTGTATACTGGGTGGTTCAAGTACTGTAATACATTTGTGATACACAGATGAGAATGCTTTAGTACCTGGCAGAGGTGGGATGGTGTGTGAATAGTCTGGTGCTGTGGCTTTTCTGGCCTGGTAGGACTAGTGTGATTACACAGGAGACACTGGCTTCATGACAGAAAGGATGCTTTCTCCAGCAGGGCAGTGATTGCTTTTCAGACCATCCTAGCACAATTGTCTGACCACAGCCAGGGTACCTCTGTGCAAAAAAGATAATCCTGACCCTTTTCCTCATTGACAGTCATTACCTGCTGTCTCTTTTATTGCACTCTGCCTTTCCCGGTCTTCCACTTTCACCACCATTCATCCTACTGTGTGTATTTAGGACAACCACTTACAGATTCTTTTAATTTTTAAGGGCCAAGATGTTTATTATACTAAAGCTGATTTTGGCAATCATGTTTTTGTAAGCAAGCCTTGAAGTCACAAAAAAATTTACAACTGAAGCTGCAATGAGTAATATGGATGAGATTGTACTATGTAAGACCTGGGCTGTGCCATCGGAGAGAATTGGCACAATGAAGCAGTTGCTGCGGCTGCTGCATGTACAGTGTGCAGGTCAGAGGGGTTTGCTTCAGAACAGATTCAGTCTCACATTGAACTATGTGCCCCATCACACATGGGGTTCAAGGCCACCCTAAGGACCAGCCACTGGTTGTGATCCTTAAGCCTGGACTGCATTTTTTATGTAACCAAGCTGGAGCCTGTGGTTTTGTTTCCTTCAAGAAGAATCTGGTTTGCTTACCAACACAGCTCTTAAACTGAACCAGAAAACACATGCTGATGATTCAAACTTCAAACTGCTCCAGACCAAATGGAGACATGCCCATAATGCCTTTCTGTGAGAGACAAATAGTACAAATCTTCTTATTCCTGTAAGTCTGCCTTTCTCACAGCTGTCTTTTGTATTGATATGAGACAATTATGTGAACAGATCAGGGAGAACTTGGTTTTTAGAGACCTGTTCAAATGACCACAGGAATCCTAAATTAAAATATCCTCTCTGACACTCCTCACCATTTATGTACTATTTGGATACAGGTTTAGAGCAGACAGTTTTACTATATGTGTGTGCCACTAAATCTGCTCCTCCAAACTCAAGCATCATGGCAGTAGCAGACATAGACACAAATTCCTTCAATGGCTTTACAGACATAAATGTTTTCCACCATCCACAAGAGAATTCAGCCAGGCCAGGATGACAAAAGGCTCCCAGTAGGCTCTTGGGGCTGGAGATTGAGGGCCATGCAGAGCAAATCAGGCCAGTGTGCCAATAGGAAGAGTAATAAATAAAACCTAAAAATCCTAGAGAAAAATGTCCTAATATTTTATATGTGTTTATTGGGTTATTTGGGTCTAGCTGTTACTAGAAACTCTACACTATCATATGCACTATCATAACCTCATTTCACCATAATCCTGTACCTTTAAAAATATATGTTTGTTATGTGTTAAAGAAAGTTGAAATATAAAGGTTTTAAGCAGCAATACAAAACAGGATGTATGTCATGTGGAGCAATAATTACACCCTAAGTGCATGGAGAAGAACTTAGTGAAGCTAAATGCCTCATGCTCCCCAATATGTAATATTATCACAGCATGAGTAATTGGAGATATTCTATAGAACTGCTTTGACTTTAAGCTATTTTAAAGCCTATCTTGAATCATTCTCCTATTGCCTTGTTTACCTTTTGAACTACACAGTTTTCTGCTTTCAAGTTCTCCCTGATCTGTTCTGCACTAAGACTTCAGACAACATTGCAATGGTCTCTGTTCTATATACACTGACTTCTGCAAACGGGAGTTCATAGCTGTAAGTGACATTGTCCATGCCAAAATGTGCATATTTATGCAGTGTCTTCTTATTAAAAAATCAAGTGTCAGAAACTGGAAACCTTTTTTTTTTTTTTCTTCTAGAAATAGTCCCTTCCTTAAGCTTTTCAACAGTACAGTTTTGCGGAGAAGCCTGGTTTCCTTGTGAGTGATTTCTTGCAGCAATACTCTGGCATTTTGGGGGTTCTGAGTGGTCTGAATTTGAAATAATGAGGCACTCCCCTCCAGAGATCTGTCTGAACACTCAGAGATTTCCCCATAAGACTAGAAATCTTTATTCTCATCCTAGAAATTCTCTTTCTAAATTTCATCCTCTCATTCCTTTGTTTGGTATACACTGTTATATTCTTGAAATAATTTGTTTTCAAATATTTCTTATATAAATTTACATCTCCCCTGCCCTTACTTTATTATCCATTATTGCAGATGTGGAATAAATTTTATAAATAGTCTTTCTCTCCTTTTTTCTCCCTTGCCCCAATTAGTTTATGTAGCACTCTCCTGGTTTTCGTGCCTCTCTTCAGCACTATTTTGGCTTGTGAGTATGAAAATGGCAAAATGGTATTTAGAAATTTATGCATACCCTGATATGGTCTCTTTAAAGCAGCACAGAGAGGAGCTGTGGACTTCTATACCATTTTTCATACCTCTGTAATATCTACCCAACAGAGCTTGGTTGTGAGTATAGCCTTTGGCAGCTAATGTAATTGGTACCCAAACTGACCTTTTGATGCTATATGGAAGTCCAATTTTTGTTTAGCTTCTGCTCTTATTCTTTATCTAGAATTTTTTCAGTCTGTTATTTCCTGACGCTGTTTCTAAATGCATCCTTTTCCTTGTCCAACATGGTATTTGTAACTCTTCACATTTTAATACCAAGTGGGTGCTAATGTCATCATTTATTCCTTTTAAGGATCATTAATAAAGCAATGAAACAGGACTGGACATAATACAGATATATGCAATATTCCCCTTTTATTCTGACTCAGTGCTTCACCATTAATTAGTCTTTGTAGCTCTTCAGTTTTCAGCCACATGACAACTTGCATCCAACCAAATATGAATTGATTTTCATTTTAAGCTGTGGCTGGAAGTGATGATGTTGCTGATAGCATGACAGTGCAGCAGAGCAGTTGTTCTTCTATAGCATGCTGTGGGAGCATGCATTTCGGTAGGCAGGGCAAGTGAGAGTTAAAACTCTGTTCAACTTTCTGGGCAATTGCCCCTGGTAAAAATCTATAGCTGATGACTATCAGCAGTATTTTCTGCAGGGTGCTGATGGTGAAAATCTCTACTAAAATATAAGCTTCTAATCCTTTGCTCACAAGGTGGGGTGAGAAGGAGAATTGAAATTTCATTTAGATATATTCTTGTTGAAATAGCATACAATACACATACAGTTTAAAATAAATGTGAAAATTAATTTCACTGCTTCTTTTTGACATGGTATTTTGTTGAAATGACACAACTGAATTGCTACATAAGGTAGTCAGAATTCAGGAATCATATGTCTATAGCATATCTTTTTTATCTTATATCATTTGATTTAGCCATCATCTGTCCACATAGATAGATGCATCTGCCTTTTCTGTACTTGGATGTGTGATGTTCCATGGAATAACTGTTTGTGGATAGTTATAAATCCGAAATTTTTTATGTGATGTGCTGCAGCCTAGTATTGCTGATGTAGACGGATTCTTTTGAGTTCTTTATTATTGCTTATAATACTCATCTAAATGTGATTTTCCTGTTATTTTTGTATTCTGAGAGCTGGATTCCTTTAAAATTTCTGCCTTTTAAAGTGCTGTGTTGTCCTTGAATATCAAAGAGCTGTCAGCGTATACAAAAAGATATGCCTAATAAGAAAAGATCATGCGTGTTTATTTGCTTGATAAAGTGTTAGGGATCTGTGAAGAAAATGTAGAAATAAGCATATTGAATAGGACACTAATATGCTTTGTATTTTAAAATTAAAATTATTTACAATCCTCACATTTTGTGTCTTTCAGTTAAAAGCATGGTATTGTTATGTATTTGTCTTTTTCCAGCACAAGAAGACCAAAAAACTCATGTATCAAATTTACCCTCCACAGATCTTTGCTGCCATCTTCTGTTTCTTAAAATGATTGCCATTATTATTTGGATTCTGAAAAATAAGAGTGGTATATTATGGAGTAAAATTTCTCTTTATATCATTTGTTTTATTTCCCTGTTTTCAGCTAAAGCAAAGTGAAGCTAATGCAGACACAAAGGAGAAGCTTCCATTGCGTCTACGCATCTTTGAAAAATTTCCAAACAGGCCACAAATGGTGAAAATCTCCAAGCTTCCTTCAGATTTCACAGTTCCAAAAATAAGGTATTGAAATATTTCCTTTGCTACTATGCTGTAAACTTTTCTGGGGCCACATACCACCCAAAATATTTAACATTTTTTTCTTGTGGGTTAGGCAGATAGTTCAGAAAATCAGAAATTAAATAGAATTAACATAGGCATTCAAAAGATGTGACATTTTGGGTTTACCTTTTTTTACGTTTGGGGAGAAAAAATCCTAGCACTCCTGACAACAAGCAGCTAGATTGACCAAAACTGACACAAGTACAATATAATTGAAAAGTGTGTTGTTTCTCGGCTCCCATTTGGATTTTAGATTCTTGGCTCACATGAACAACTAGCAGTTGGTTTTTAGAACAACTAGTAGGTTTTTAGAGATAGGGTGAATTGGCCGCAAATATTAGAGGGGATACCATAGACCATCCAATACCAGTTCCTCTGTGATGACCTCATCCCTTCTTTGTATCTGCATAGTTATCACTTTCCTATAAGACTCACCTTAACAAAGGATCAGACCCTCAGTTATCTATTAGATCATTCTTTTACTGTGAGGGTGGGGAGGCGCTAGAACAGTTTGCCCAGAGAAGTTGTGGATGCCCCATCCTTGGAAGTGTTGAAGGCCAGGTTTAATGGTGCTCTGAGCAACCTGGTCTAGTGGAAGGTGTCCCTGCCCATGGCAGGGGGGTGGAACAAGGTGATCTTTAAGCTCCCTTCCAACCCAAACCATTCAGTTACAGTACAATTATTTTTGCTTGAAGTCAAAAAAAGCTTACATAAAGGACTGCTCTAGCATATACAGGCTGCAAAGTTTGTTGAAACAGCACAGGCTGGCTAAACAGGTCCTCTGGCCATGCCCATTCTAAAATCCTCAATAATTACATGCTGGGAGAAAGGATGATATAAAAGATTGCTGCCATTGTTCTGAGTCTCCTGAGATTACATTTGTTTTGATTAAAGTCACAAGAAAGCTAAGGCAACTGGTTTGTCCTGTTTATAGTATCTTAGCTGAATGAGAGGAAGAGTCAGGAAAAACACCTTCGAAACCTCAAGGAAGCAATCACAGATATTTTGCTTTTAGTATCAAAGTACTCTTTGTTTATATATGGAGGGCATTCTTCTACTAGTCTTAGTCTTTTTTGGGTATTTCTTTCTAGCTTTGTTTTCCCTAACGTACTCTATACTAACTCGTAATCATACTAACTACTGAAACAGACTTCAAAGTAGCACTAGCAAATCATATCTTTAAATCTGAAGTTATTGCACCATATAGAAATATCTCTCCAGAGCAAAATTAGTTTTGACATAGTCAGTTTACACTGAAAAGAGGCAACTCTACTGAACTTAAAATACAGCAAAATGAATGTACATTTGTTGTAAACAGAAATGCTTCTGCATTTTAAACATGACATATGTGAGGCACAGAATTGCTGAAGTGCCCTAATGCTGGCATTCAAAGCAGTTATATGAACAGATGTTGTTTGAAATCTTCAAGAAAGAATTTCACACAGAGACTATGTTTCCTTTGGGTTATATCAGAATTTGATTTACAGTCAAGTAACAACTTGCTGTTTAATGAGCTCAAAAGAGCTGAAAACTGCAAAAGGCACTTGAAATACTTAGCATTTATATTGGTAAATAAATAAATAATAAAAGCAATATAATTATTTTCCTTGAATCTACACACAAATGACCTACCTCTCAATTCACTTGTGGATTTCTTTAATAAATGAAGTATTATCAGTTGTTCTGGCACTCTGTTCATTTATAAATCTATAGTCCAGTACAACTTTTTCTCGGAAGTTTATCCATCTAAGCACTAGTGGGTTGTGACATCATAAGGAAAACCAAATATTAACTCTTCCTGGGGTTTTAATGCATCAATATCTTCTTTGTTCACAAGGGAAAGTTTTATGAAGCAGTTTATTGATCGTCAGCAACAAGATACCAGCTGTTTGCTGCGAAGACTTCCTTCAGCATCTTCTTCCTCGTGCGACCACTCTAAAAGATCGGCAATTGAAGAAAACAAATATATTGATCAAAAGGTAAATCAGGAGTACAGGGCAGTGTATGTCTTTCCTTGAGTATTGTGGGGAAAGACTTCAGATTATTCATAGCTACATAAAAGATAAATACAAGCTAGGATGATTGAACACAGGTTAAAGGGCTATATTTAATTTAGCCTACAACAGACATCATAGATATGTCTGTTAAATTTTCCCATCTCCTTTGAATTCAAAATTCAAGATTTGATACATTATTTTATTTAATGCATGCATCTTCTGAAGCTATTTTTTGAAGTAGTTTTGCTGTTAATCACTGAGAAGCTAGTGGACAATTAAAGTTTCTGAATATAATTTTTGAGTGCCTCAATACTATTACAACATTGAAAACACACTTCATTGAAGCAATGTCTCTGTGTAATCATTGAAGATGAGTAAAAATTTAATAATTATTCTAATTATTTAGAGGACATTAACCTAAGCCTGGGAATCACTAGAAAACAGGTGCTGAACACATATTTGATACCCATTTTTCTAAATGCTGCTAGTCTCCCAGTCAGACTGACATGGATGGCTGGATTTGAAAAATACCAAAACTGCTCAGAATGATGACAATGATGATGATGATGCAGCGTAACTAAATGTATGTGACTTCTGACACCTTACAAAACTACAGGAGCAGAAAAAAAATTTCATGTGCATCCTGGAAGGTATTGGCTTCCCTGATTTCTAGTGGCATCTAGAGTGAAATCTGTCCTTGATCACTTGTAGTATTGTGCAACTTAGTGACATTTGAACAGATAAAAGTACTTTCAGTATTATTACAGGGTGCTGTGTTTTTTAGATACGTTTTAAGTTACAGAATCGCATACAAGAAAAGAGTCTATGTGTTGCAGTTACACATTATAACTGGCTTTCCTAGAGTGTGGTTTGCAACCATAACTCAGAACAGCATTCATAAAGGCAGGAAGCAGACCTGGAGAAAAGATTACTCTTCTGATAATGAATGAAAATAGACAATTTTCAAGCTACTGTTAATTGCCTTCCCTAGTTTGGTGCAAGAAGACGTTCCTGTGGCTGATGTATTCTATGGCATCAGTAAGCCAAAGCTGAACAGCATGGCCTGAGAGGGAGGTCTGTGGCAAAATCAGTCCAGGAAGGCCATAGGAAGGAATCAAGCATAAATGGACATCATCTGTTTTAACAAGCACAGAATCAAAATTGGATAAGTTATTAAATGACAAGCCTAGGGGTTAGTAGAACTATGCTAAACGTCACTGATAATGTAGCTCAAATACTATGTCAGGGAAATCAAAATACATTTTTACCATGTAATGAAGAGATGAACAAAGTTGTTTCAGACACACAGGTAAGTCAATAGTGTGCAACACAGAGCGGTGCAATAATGCAGTAGATCTGTTTACATGAGTATAGTTTAGGTATTTTAAGTTGCAGCTTAATTCCTTATTCCTGCTGTTCACAAAAGTGAACTGTTTTTATGTTTGAAGACAGTTGAATACATGGTACTGTTTATTCAGTGAGATCTTGCAATATGAAAACAGAATGTTGGATTCTTTTCAAATATTCACTTCAAGAGCAGATATGCATGATCTGACTTTCATTTTTTAATTGAAGTAAGCATTTGGAAATTGGTTTTGTACTATTCAACCTGCTTTAAGCACATACTTTAGGATTCTCATGCCTCAAGGACAGAAACAATGATGAGTAATATTTCAGGTAAATGTAGCTTAAAACAAGGTATTTACACATCCCTATTAAGAGGAGAAAGTACTAGGAAGGATTTGTGAAAGTAATTACTCTGCCTTTCTATAGTTACAGTTGCCAAGGCAACCTCACTTTTTTATGAACAAATTTTGTTAAAAATATCCTTAAAACATGCTTGGAATGATTGGTTTGCTTGAGTATAAACTTTACATACATACTTTACTTTTCTTCGTAGAAAAAGAAACCCAACAAAACATTTTACTAATCTCAATGCCTAGTAGGATGCATTTTCACTGCTCCTGATAGCAGGAGGATAGCTTCAGAGACTTTTCACATCTTTTTTCCATTGTAGTTGATGAAAAAAAATGTGGAATCAAAAGGTAAGATCCTGCTAGCAGATTGGACTCTTCTTCCTTTGTAATGCCTGAACTGTGGCTAATTCTTGAGTTGCCCCTGGACTTAAGTCAGTGTTTCTATGTTCGACACCTGCTGAAGGGATAGGAAGTACTTAATCCATACATTCCTTTATTTTTCCCTTATTTCCATTTCAGCAACATTCTTTTCTTCCTTTCTCTAAAAACCTGCCACTATATATATATGTATGTATATATATATATATATATAGTGTTGTTTTTGTGTTCAGAATCAATCTGATCCATAATTTGTGATGATCAATAGAGCAGATCTTATATATGTTCTCTTATATAATGGATGTAGTGAGTTTTTTTCAGTATTATAACTATCCACCTCCTTTAAAAGTTGTTTTAAGTTGTAAAAGGTGAGGAGATTTTCATTGAATTCTTTCTTCTTTTTTTAAGGTATTTTACCTTCTCAAAAAATTGAAAAAATATATAGTTGTGTATATTACTGTAACCATGACTACAATCAGTTTAAAATTATATTCATCTATGCCAAATCAAAAGAACAGCTTTGGAAAACAGATTTCTTTGTTGTACTCCTCTTTTTCTAGTCCAGTCTGTGAGTTCCAGCACTTTTTCTAACTTTAAAATTTTTAAACTATTATGAATGTAATAAGCTAACCAAACACTAACATAAGAAATCACCTATAGATACCTAAATGCCTTTTCCCTTTATACATCCCCTAAGAGTTCACTCTCAGTATGTGTTGTCTGAGTGGATGTGTATATACAAATTGTACAGTGCTTCTGCCTCCAGTGTTGGCTACACCTGGGCTCTCTCAGATACAGATGCTTGATAGGCAGCTTAGCCCAATGCTTTGTTTGAGTTATTTAATATTATCTGTAACATTTTGTGTGTAAAACTGGGGTTCTCTGGGGTTCTCTGAACTTAACACTGCTGGAAATGCAGGATGATCATTTTTTGCTCTGCACTTGAGGTCCTGCAGAGCAAATTTTCTTAAACTCATTGATCTTGCCACAGACCTCCTCCACTGTGTGCTGATCTAGTTTGTCCTGATATGGTCTGCAGGCCATTAACTGAAAATTATTCACAGTATGCTGTGAATTTCCTTAGATAACCAATATTTCAGTTAATTCTGTACAGAAGAACTGGATGAAGTATGGAAACATATAATTTTAGTGTGAGTGGGTGGATGAGAAGAAAGCAAGTTGGCAGAAGATAAGGATGTCTCCCTGTGGTGACTTTCACAAGAGACTGAGGGATAGTTGCAGCAACTTTCAGGGAACGAAGAACTAAACGAACCCTGAGATTTACAACAAATAAGGTGTCCAGTAAAATACATCTGAGTTGGCTGTAGAGCATTTGCCTTGCCTTCTTAAATTCAAGAGTAGAATCAGAGGGGCACAGAGACACTTCAGAGTGCTTTCCTAAGAGACATACAACTTTTAGGAAGCCTTGCAGAAAATTATTGCGAGAAGGACACTTCTGAACTTGTTACTTATCTTTGGCCACAAAACATAGTACATGACTGTTAAATTAAAAGTCAAAACTGAGAGGCTCATGAGACAAACTTTGAAAATGCCTATGGCTCAATATGTACAGATAACCCATGTACATGTTTACAGCAGTAGCACAGCAAGATTGAATTACAAAAGAAAGTAGAAGAGCCTTTGATATATACATGTATTTTATAGTTCAGACTTTGAGCATCTCCCATTTAACTGGAGGAATATAAGCAAACCAGCTCCCTTATTTCTCCATTTGTAAGAGTAATTGCATAGTAACAAACATAATTTCTCTTTTCTTTCCTATTTGTCATCTTGTTTCCTTTCTGATTTCTTTCACATGTATGAGTTTTGGTTTTAGTTTTGCAAACATTGAAGTTAACAGCCTGTGCAAGTTTTGAACTGGCTTCCTGACAAGTCTCCAAAACTTGACAACAGGGCCTGCTTCCCAGAGAGGGAAGAAAAAAAACGAACCACAGGAAAAAAAACTGAAAGAAGTTTGAACGAAACAGGATTCTATCAAAACTATATATATTTACAATTATATATATACAATTTGAATATATTATCCACAACAGGGAGCTCCCGAGGCGGAAAAAGGGAAAAGGGAGGGGGAAACAGGGATAAAAAGAAACCTAACAACAAATATCTCCTACATACACCTGTTAACAGAGAGCTGATGAATAAATATGAAAACGAATTAAATACTTCCCTGAGCAGGACAGCAGAGCTGTGCAAGGCAACAGCCAACTTCCCCCATGCCTCCCGGAGAGACTGGAGATAATGGCAGGTTGGAGCAGGCAGGCTTTGGCCTATACAAGCAAAAACTGTCTGCAAGAGGGACCTGTCGTCTTCAGCCACTGGAAGGGAGAAGAGAGCGAACTCTCTTATCTGCGCCTTTTTATGTGTTGTGTTACGTAAAGGAATAGCATGGAATACTTCCTAAGTCACTACCCTAGTTCCTTCCTGGTTGCAAACTGGTCTCCAGGAAGGCCTAGGGTGAAAACTATCACATAGCCATTCCTTTTTTCCTGTGGGAGCCAGATGCATCATTAAGGTCTAGCTCCTGGGAAAGCTTGACCTCCCATGCTATATGCCTCTTCCACTGATTTCCTGCTTACAGCAGAATGTACCTGTGTGATGGGAGGTCATGATCAGGAAGTGAGAGCTGATCTCAGAGGTAACCAGAGCCATTACCTTGGAGGATTCTGAATATTAAGAGGCAGACCTCATGCTGGATACTTCGTTTAATGCGTGTTTGGTTATCATCATAGATACTTCATTTGTGAGCTGCTGAGACATGCCACCTAATCCTAATAAGACATTGTTTAATCTGGAAATTTGTTCTGTCCTGATTTTTTCCTTATCTGTGCTCAGCTTCTACTTTTCTTTGCAGAAAGTATTTCTAACTGTAAAAGCTGAAATAGCCTT